CGAAAGGGCAGGCAGGAAAAACGACTTGATCACGCTTTCTGAGAAAGATCAGCTCGTTTCGGCTGACGAAGAAAGAATTAAAACCGTGGGAAGAATGACCAATGTCGCTTTCTGATTGGGAAAAGTGCATGCGCTTGGGGATGTCGTAGTACTAGATGTCAATACGTACGACGTTCTCTTCGGACTTCCCGCTCTTGTGGCGTTACAAGCAAACCTGGACTTCGAACGACGATCGATCGTCCTCCAAAATACCCGAGGAAAACCCTACGCTGTGCCCATGCGATTGACCGTTCGCACTACTATTAACACGGTTCCGCGGGTCTCGCCGATGATGGCAGGGACTCTCCGCATGATCTTCTGGGAGAAATCCACAGAAACAGAGTCATCAACAGACGATGCGGAAAGCAGTGACGAGGATGATCCGGAGATCTTGAAATTAGCGCGACAACGTGTTTGTTACCCGCCACCAAAAACGATAGCAAGAACGATGCAACTAACCAGCCGAAAAATTCAAAGGACCAAGGCGATGATCTTGGGTGAGCCCCTCGTGCAGATTTCGAGGATGGTCGATTCTTTGGAACCCCTTCAAACTCTGTACGAAGGAACCCCTCTCCTCGCCCGGTACACCGACAAGAAGCATTACTGTGACATTACGGATCGACCCAAGTCCTTACTAACTTCGGCTAAAAAAGTGAGATTGTTACGCTTGGGGGCGGAAGCAAGCTCTCTGGAACCCGCTGGGCGTTTTGAAGCGGAAACAGACGGACTGGCGATAAATATCGCAACTAAGGAAGTGCCATGGCAGGATGTTTGTGACGGGATTACCCTGGAAGGACACGTGGTAATCTGAGAAGAGGATGCTCAGATGATGGCCACGGTGTTCTCCTAGCGATCGGATTATTCATTCATCTCGGCGCCCCCACCCGATTTGACAAAACAGGTGAACACGAAACAGATTGACTTTCGGATCTGGAACAACTGTTTGAACTGCACGTTCCACAATCAATGCCGGACGAAATCCACCGGGTAATTGTGGATATTCTAACGGAATATCAAGGAGCGATTAGTGTGTCAGACACTGACATTGGGTTGTCATTAGTAATCCAACATGAAATTAAGACAGGAAATCACACCCCGATTCATTGCAAATCTTATCGCTATTCCTTGATTGAACGCAAAAAGGCTCTCGAACGAATTCGGGAGTTCGAAGCCAACGGCTGGATTGAACCCGCTACCGGACCTTGGTCCTTTCCCGTAGTGTTAGTACCGAAGAAGAACAGGGCGATTCACATTTGCATTGATTATCGCAAGCTGAACGAAATCACGATCAAAGATGTGTATCCCCTCCCCCGGATTGATGATCTGTTGGATGCGATTGGATGCACTAATTATTTCAGCAAGTTTGATATTCGGCATGGCTTCCATCATATTCTGGTAAGGGAAGAAGATCGATCGAAAACGACCTTTGTGTTGTTTGAGGGTACGTGGCAGTGGGTTCGGTGTCCGATGAGGATTTGCAATGCGCCTGCCACATTTCAGCGAGCGATGAACATGACGTTCCAGAACTTCGTCAACAAGACACGGCTGACGCAAGGAATGATTAACTTCTGCGTGATCGTGTACATGGACGACATCCTGGTCTATTCGGAAACCTATCACGGACACGCGCAACACATTGAATGGACATTGGGAGCATTGAGAGACGCTGGGTTCAAGATTGCGCTTGAGAAGAGCGAATTTTTCCTCTCGGAAATTTCGTTCTTGGGTTATGTCGTGACACGTGGAGGATTGAGGCCAGATTCGAGAAAAGTTGCGGCGGTAAAGGAAGCTCCGGTCCCTACGTCACTGACGCAGGTTCGAGCCTTCTTGGGACTGGCGTCGTACTACCGGCGCTTCATCAAGGGCTTTGCCGCGATTGCACGACCACTAACGAATCTGCTACGGAAGGACCAGCCTCTCAACTGGGACGCGGAGTGCCAGCAGGCCTTTGCAACCCTCAAGGACGCTCTGGCAACGACCCCTATTTTGATTTGACCGGACCCCTCGAAGCAGTTCATTCTCATCACGGACTGGCAACCAGAAGCTATTTCCGCTATCCTAGTGCAGAAGGGGAACGCTGGTCGCGGACATGTCATCGAGTATGCGTCACAAACCGTACCGGACGAATGAAGGAACGACTCCGCACCTCAGGGTGAGTGATATGCGGTAGTTTGGGGAATCCAACACTTCCATCCATATCTCTACGGAGAAGTTTCGCCTCGTAACGGATCACGAGCCTCTGCTGGCGCTGAAGAAACTCACCAACTACACGGGCATGATTGGTCGCTGGGCGGTGCGACTACAAGAATACAACTTCGATATCGTCCATCGAAAGACAGAGCGACACGACAACGAGGACGGGCTGACACGTCTCCATCGACCTGCCAAGGTACCAAAGGGCGAGGAAATTACACCGTGGAAGGAGCCGGACCAAACTAACGAGCCGAAGTACGGACAAGTGGCAGTTCTCCCACGTGGCAAGAAGCAAGATGGTGGCGATGGGTGATGGAGGTAACCCCACTACCCCACTTTCTCCCCCTTCCTCCACGTCTCTCCCCTCCCTGCCTGCCAAATTTTCTTATTTTTGCGAAGCCATTTCCCATGTCTATTCGGTCTCCATGCGTCCTAACTGGGTGGGATATGCGGATTGGATAGATTGCCGACAGTGTGTTGCACGGGCCCACGGCTCGTGCATCCAATACAGGAACGATAGTAAACCATGGTTGTGCCCCTTGTGCCGGACCGACAAAATTCCGACCGAGGCTCGCTTTTTGGATGCCACGTCAGAAGGATTGGAAAAGACTCGAAAGTTTAGAAGGGCCGAAGTATGCACAAATATTGCTTTAATTGCCACCCTAGTAGGTAACCCCCTCCAGGATTTCACCAAGGAAGATCGGAGGAGGGCCAACGAAAGGGCTCGGGACTATCGATGGATAAAAGGTAGATTAGAAAAACGGAAAATGAACGGCAGTGGGATTTGGATGGTAGTGCCGCATCCGTTCATGCGGTATGACTGGGTTAAGACAGCCCACGAAGAAACTGCGGCTCATTTTGCTGTACGAATCACCCTGCTATCGACAAAAATGAGTGGTACTGGTCCAATATCCGCGACGATGTGAAGTACATCGTCTCCACCTGTCAAGTCTGCGCCGCTGATAAAGCGCCGATTCAGCCACCAAGGTCGATAGTGCCAACGGTTGTTGAACGGCCAATTCAGAGAGTAAGCATGGACACTACCGATATAGTGGTGCCACCTGGCCCTAATAGTTGCGAGTATTCAGTCCTACAGGTATTTGTCGACCATTTCTCGAAATGGATCGAAGCGTATCCTTGTCGCACGCGGCAAGCCACGGAAATCGTGTGATATGTCAACCGTTTCCTTGGGATGCATCAGGACACCGAAGAGATCCTGACCGACAACGGGGCTGAATTCAGGGGAGAGTTGTTAAGGAATCTGGTCCTACATGGCGTCGCCATACGGAACACTGCACCCCACATGTCGCAATCTAATGGGCTGGTCAAAAACGCTAACCGGGTAATAAAAATAGCGTTGCGATGAAACATCGCGGCACGGGATCCGAGACCTTGGCCCGATATCGTCGATCACATCCTGGCGGTCCATCACGGAACGCCCCATGAATCGACGGGGTTGAGCCCCTTCCAATTAAGGACCAATAGTGTCGCTTGCGTTGCGATACCGAACCTCCCGGATGAGTCTACATTGAACCGACGGCCCACCAGGGCCACGACTCGGGACAAGGCCAAACGACACCTAGAGTTAATGGAACGGTCGCTGCCCAGGCTAGCCCGAAAGCGACAGAAAATGATCGAGCTAGCCCAGGACCGACAGATCCAGAGCTACGAGGCCCAAAATGGGAATGTGGGTCCGCGGCCCCAATACAAATTGGGGGACGTAGTGCAGGTGAGGAAATGTGCTCGCCAGGGTAAGCTAGCGCCACGATTCTTCGGGCGATACCGCGTGATTGAGCTCGGCCCCAACGGCGTGGACACTGTGCGTCTCGCCCCTGAAGTCTCTGGTAGTCGATCGTCTCGTCCGATCACCCGCCACGTGTCCTATCTTCGCCTCCTCCCCTCTGCTCCGTCCCCTTCTCCCTCGATCTCTCATTGTGAGGAAGCCGAAGACGACGGCTCTGACTCTCCACCATCTCCCTCTTCATCTTGCTCCCTCCCTGCCTCCCCGTCACCTTCGCCATCGCCATGAGTTTTCTGGAGGAAAGAGCCCTCAGCGCAGCATCACTTGCTCCTCGTGATCGGTTGACGATCCGGCAAGTCCATCATCCCCGCCTCAGTCCAGACCTTCGGAGGCTTGCACACTTCTTGTGCACGGAAGGCGTATATGCAGCGGCGATATTCAGAATCGAAGGCCGGCCTGATGCGGTGGTACTAGCCGAGGCGGTAGCAGTTCATCAGCGGGCGGTGCCAGGTGTCAGTCGCATATCGGTCATCATCAACTTTAGTGGCGATCTCTCCACACTTCTTCCTTTGCGACATTCGGCGGTGAAGGCGTCACTGCGCGCGTGGGCGAGCGATCTGGTCGCCAAGTGGACTCAGTTGCTGGCTCGTCCCGGAGATACAGTCGCAACGACACGAGCGATCGAGTACGACGGCCTTCGGATGTATCAGCGCGAGCCGCCAGCAGACATCCCTATCCTCGTTCCCTTCCCACGTCCCCAATGAGTCTCTCTCCGATCTCTGTTTTTTTATCTCCCCTCCACCTTCCCCACCTTCTGGCAGTCCGATATCCATCCTCGTCTTTCCTACTATCTAAAGCCCCTCGCTGTCCCCGATATCCATCCTCCCCATTGGGTCCTGTGGCGAAGACTTCATCGAGCTTTCATTGTGTTTGGTGGAAGAACGGCTGACGTGGATCGAGGACGAAGCGCACCCACCTTGCATAGAGCGCCTGGAGTTGCTGTTCATCCAGGCTTGGCGAACCACCGTGGAGGGAGAGCTTCTCGCGTTTCTATTCGGTACGGTGCGGCCCGATCACCAGGATCTCATCATGAAAGAGCTCACGATCCCGGTAGCACAGCTGGCGGACGATCTCCCTCTCGACATCATCTCGCAAGACGACGAGCATCCAGTTCCCCACGTGCTTTCTCGCACATTGACGCCTTATCTTCAGTGGTCGGCTTGCGGAGAAGGAGCCGAAGAGCGTATCCCGCCGTCGCAGCAACAATACCTGGATCCCCGAACGGCTCGCAATCCTGCCTTCTCCAGGCATCCTACGGCGGAGCAGCTTGCGGCCATTCGAGAAGAAGAGGAGGAGGAGGAGAGTACCGGGAGTGACGAAGACGAGCATAGCGAGGGGGAACAGAGCGAAGAAGAAGAAGAAAGCGAGGAAGGAGAAGAGGAGCACGACGAAGAGCCTGCTGGATCGGAGTGGGAAGTCGTGCCAGAAGAAGCGCTGCGTACGGGTACCGAGGCTGAGGATCCCGAGGCGGCCCGCAAAAGAGAAAAGATCGCGGTCGGGAAGGAGTTAGAGCTCGCAAGCGCGGCGAGTCTGCAGATTCACGACGATCCGAACCGAGATCCGGAGCCGCCGCGGCCTGAAGATGGCGACCTCGCGGCCACGACTCCGAACCCATCAGCGCTGCGACGGAGCCGATCCCCCTCCTCCTCAACCCGTTCCCCAGTTCGCCGACGTACCGATACGGGCGATCGGTCTTCGTCCCCGGTCACTCTCTCGTCGTCCCCTTGACTACCTCACCCTCCGCCAACTCGCCACCCCCTTCACGTTCCCCTCCAATCCGTTTCCCCCCGCCACCTTCCGCCACTTCTACGCTGCTCGCCTTGCTATACTGGTGCAACCCCACCCCTCCATTCAATGCGCCGTCCTAGCCTTCTGCCTCCATGTCCTGCTTCTTAGTGCCGCGTGGCGAGGCCACAACGTGATCGAGGTCTACTGCGTGGTAACGGGGACCATCCCCGCATGCGATGATCGCGATCGTTTCCGCGCGGCACTCTTCCGGACTCTCACCACCCTCTATCCTGATTACCTCATATCCCTCCCTCGCACTGGCAATCCCTTCCCCCGCTTTCACCGCATCGTTCGCTACCAAGAGCTTCCGGAAACTGTAGCCTGAATGGAAAGCTTTCTGCCCCCGCTACCCACAAACCCTCCAACCCGCCATGCTGCCATGCACCGACTCCCCTTCCCCCTTCCAGTTAATTACTGATGAAGTGGTAATGGACGCGTGTCGCGGCGGCGGCACGAGAAAGATCCCGTCCTTGGATCGTCGAAAAGCCCAATCTGAGGAATTAATAGAAGAGCAGAGTCGCCACGTTGGATGACGTCCACACGCAATCGAACGGTAAGTGGCATACAGAGAATTGCTCCGCGTGTCGATCAATTAGAGAAATCGGCATGTGTCAACAAGCAAGCAGGAGCTTGCTAATATTGCAACCCCCTGGGCGTCACATATGTGACGAACCACTTTCTGTAACGCGCGATTTTCTGCGCGGTTGCAATGAGAGGTCCTAAGCTGGGAAGATTGGGCTAGTTATGGGAGATCGGGATCGGTGGAAAATTGCATCAGTGTCCTCGCTTTTTCGTCCTCTTTCGTCGTTTCTTGTCGAATGACCGGGCACGGGGTCAGGTGTGTCTTGGGGCGGCCGGTTGAGTGATTGGTCGGATGGTTGTCTGGCGCGACGCCACGCGAGCACGCAATTAATAAATATTGACGTCGTTTCTTTCGATTCGGTTTGGATCTTTTGGGCGCGGACATCGCACGAGAAATTGCTTCGTTCTTTTTGAATTTCCTTTTAAATCTTTTTCGCATTTTGTCGAGCCCCCGATGACTCTCCGAATTTCGGACTTTCCTTCTGGAATCCGTGCTTCTTTTTGCTTTTTCGCATTATATAGGAATTTAGGAATTTAGTAATTAGGATTTTTCCTGCCGCGCGGTGCCTTTTGTTTACGCGCTTCTTCATGCCGCTGCAACGACACTCTGATTAGTGGGCGCCCTTAATCGTATGTGTAACTGTAATTTTGGGCGGGCGCCATTGTAACTGTATCTCTCTTCTTGCACTTCGTCTCTCCCGCCCTCCCTCTCTTTCTTTTGCTGAAATTTTGTAAGTCGTGGCTTGCATGCTCGGATCGATGCGTGGAGAAGGGTTACGTCCCCCACGCCGCGACCGATCTTGCAGAACGCAGGCGTTCCCTCTCTAATACTCACTCTAAGTCCTGCTAATTCCGTGTTCTTCGCGCATGCATGCACGCTATAAATTTTGGCTGCGCGATTAGTCAGCTCTCTTAACCCGTTGTTGGAAGCTCGGGGTTGCGAGATCAAGAAGGGTCGGCACACGAGCGAATAAGAGGTGAGTAGAGCAGGAGTTGGGCGACCCGACGGGCTGGTGCCGAACGTGCGGGATTGACGTGGGCCACAACGGACTGTGGACACGGGCGAATCCGACGGGTGCGGGAGGACTAAGCAGGGTGACAACTTCGTGGGTTGGTGCATGACGACGGACTGTCCGCATCGGAGAGAAAGATAGAGAGGAGAGAGAGTTGAGGTCGATGGATGCGGGTTTGCTGTTTTCTTGTCTCTTCCCCCTCTTCATCTGTATACATACATTTTTATGGCGGCGTCGGGCGGTTTGTCCGTTCTTATTTTCGTTTCGACTTTCTGAAATCTGGGCTTGGGTTTTTGCTCACATTTGTCCTTGCGATGTCCGTCCTGCTCGCATTATGTGTATGATTCCCGAATGTATGGATGTATGGACGTTATGACTGCTTGTCTATCTTTTAGCTGAGAATCCCTGTCCTTGCGTTATGTCGGTGTGAAATCTTTGCCTGCACCTGATGTCGCTGTAGATGGGATAGGAATCTGGTCCCGATAGTGGGTT